GGGCGGAAAGCCAATCCGAGCAGGCCTGGGCCGGCCCGAAGGCCTCGTGTCCAATCGGCTCCAAGACTCGAGGCGGATCGACCGACCCTCCGCCCAATGAGAGGCTCTCTGGACGGGGCGAGGTGGAGGATGGAGAAGGAGGGGGATCCCGGCTAGGCCGAGGAGAAGGCGGTGTAGTTGGGGATAGAGCGATGGCGGCACCGCCCAATGGACATGTGGGTGGAGGAGCTCGCACCCTCTCCTCCTCCCAATTCGCTTCACGGGTGAACCGGTCTTACCCACTGGCCCCGGAACCTTCCCGGGAGGGCGCCGCGAGCCCCGGGTCCCACCTAGCTGACCAGTGCGGTCCTCCGCCCCGCCCCCTCGACCCCCCAAACAGACCCCAGCCGCTAGTCGTTTGCAGGACGCGGCTTGAACCGCGGCTGACCCTAGCCTTTGTCCCTCGGCCTAATTCCGCAGCTGCCTCCGAGGTCGCTAGCGGCCCTCCTACACACACACACACACACACACAAGCTATTTTTCACTAGCACCCCCTCCCTCGGCGTGCTTGGGCTAAGCCCCCTCCCTTTGCCTGCGTTGGAGAGATGTTCCCGGTACCAAAAAGAATGAAAGGGCTGGGGCTGGTCTCCATGGCAACTGGAAGAAAGAGGTGGGTTATAAATCCTTGGCCACCCTCCTGTGGTGCAGAAGAGGGTGTGGGAGCAGGAAAGTAAGGTCGGTTTTAGGAAGGAGAGGCTGGAGCCTCTTTTTGTTTGGTGCCCTGGTCACAGAAGAATCTGTGGCTGCCTTGGAGCCTGGATATATACTTTTTGAATCATCATCTTCTCTTTTCTTTGGAGGAAAGAAGATCCTCCGGCTCTGAGACCCTGAACTCATACCTACCAAATGCCCTTCCAGGCATCCCTTCCTCCAAAGGCTGCCTGGGGCCTGGAATGATCCTGTCCTGCTCTCTACCCCTGAGGCACTCCCTCACCCCCAAATCTAACGAGGCTGTGGGCTTATCTTCCTGGCTAATTATTGCATAAGTGCCTCCCATTGGAAGACTGTAATGTCCTGTGGGTGATAACCCTTAATTTTCTACATTTCTCCCATAATGACCAGTTAGTAGGCTGAACAAGAAGTTGAACTTCTCGAGAATTGTGCTTGGGAATAGAATTCCAATGTTCCCTCCAGACTGTTGGAGAACTCTGGAAACCCCATTTCCTAACTAGAAATTTCAAATCCTGCAGGAAGCCACCCCAGATGGATTTTTAAAAAACCAAGAACATCTATAGCTCTTCTCAACCTCTATGCCTACCATTGCCTACTGTTCTCAACTATTATGTTGCTTATAACAGGAATACCCGTGTCTGGGTGATCTACAAAGAACAGAGATTTATTTCCTTCACTATTTAGAATTCCAAGGCCCAGGGGCTGTATCTGGTGAGGTCCTTCTTGCTGTTCAGTAACATGGCAGAGGGCATCTCATGTTGAGAAAGCATGAACACTTGTGTCTGTGCTGTGTGTGCCACCCCTGTATAAAGTCAGGAGTAACCTAGTCATGGATGCCCACTGTGTGCCTCATCACTGCTCAAAGGTCCTACCAACCAACACCATAGTCAGATTAAGTTTTCATCCTTTTTTAAAATAAATTATTTTATTTAACTTTATATATTTAGTTTTAATTCGATCAGAGAGGAACAGAGTGAGAGAGAGAGAGAGAGGAAGTGAGAAAGCAAGCTGCTGGGCCCAGAAGGAACTCAAATGGCAGTCAGCCATGTGGGATTTCAGCACCCTTAACCACCATGCCAGCTGCCAGCCCCAAGTTTTCACCTTCTTAATCCTGTTACAACCAAATCTTCTTTTTAAAGAATTATTTATTTCATTTTATTTATTTATTTATTTTTTAATTCACCAAAGAGAGAGGGAAAGTAAGAGAGCAAGCCACCAGGTTCAGGACTTACACCATGGTCAACCATGCGGAAGTCCAACACCTTAACCATCACGTCACCTGCTGACTCCTACAACCGAATCTTAACACATGAATTTGGGGGGGAAACAGTCAAGCCATAGTATCTACCTTTCTCCCTGCCCCGCCTCCCTACCCCCATAAGTGTTGTGAGGTACTTCTTAAAAGTTAAGGGATCTGCCATCCAAGTCTGAGTCTTGATCATTCTGAAGAATCAATCATCATCTTTTCTTGGCTGCCAAGATGAACCCCAACAGCCAAGCAACACCTGAAATATGTGTTTTTACAGTTTACCAAATCCCTTCACATCTCACTAATCCCCACAGCAACATTTGAATTATGAGGCAACTCATCCATTTTTTTAAGCTTTAAAAATGACAGAACCTGGACCCTGAGAAGTTCAGCTACTCTCTGACTTATAATAACCAAATGAAAGTGCAGATTCAATGAAATTCCAGTACATTACGAGAAGGGCTTTTTCTCCTAAATACACATAGGAGTTTATTCTCTCTAGTGTATTTGTCAACTTGCTGATGGTCTGTATCTATCATTAAAGTTTATCTAAAATAACAGATGGTATATATACTAAAGGCAGCTACTCAAGTTGTTTACAATTCTAAATAAAAAATGCAAATAAATTGAGCATAAGAAACCTGACATGAAAGAATGCCTGCTGTGTGACTATGTTTACGTTAAGTTCAACATTACGAGGATATGAGAAGTGAGGGTGATGGGTAAAAGGGGAGAGAGAAGTGATTAAAAGCCCAGATAGGGACCAGCAGATGGCGTAGTGGTTTCATCACTGGACTCCCATATGGCAACCGCTGTTCAAGTCCCAGACCCCTTGCTTGAAACTCACACTAGGCATGTGTGCATGGGTGCCCAAGATCCTGGGAAGAGAATGGAGGAGAAGAGATTGCTGCAAGCCATCCCCACCCTCTCCATCCCCACCCCTACAGTGCTTTCTCACTTTCCCTCTCACTCTGTTGCTCTCTCTTCTCCAACAAGTGCATGGGGCCCTAAGGCAAAAACCTCTTAAAACAAACTAACAAAAGGGAAAAAAAGCCCAGATAGGCATCTGGTAATGTCCTGGTTTTTGGATCCAAGTGATAATTACATGAGTGTGTTCATTTCATAATATTTCATTAAGGTGTTCAATTATGATTTGCACTCTTCTATATGTACGTTATACTTAAATAAAACTTTTTTAAAAATATTTTTAAAAGCAGGTATTAGAAGGGCTGGCAGGTGGTGTAGTGGTTGAGGCGTTAAACTCCTACATGTCCAACTATGGTTCAATTCCCGGACCTGGTGGCTTGCTTTGTCACTTTCTCTCTCTCTCTCTTTCTCTCTGTCTCTGTCTATTACTAATCAAACTGGAAAATAATAATAATAAAGTTAAATAAAAATAATTATTTAAAATAAAAGGTATCGGGGGCCTGCAGGTAGTGTGGTGGTTGGGGCACTGGATTCCCACATGGCCAACTGCAATTCATGTTCCAGACACAGGACCTGAAAATAATGCCGGGCATGTGTGTTTACATGTTCAAAAATCCCAGGAGAAAGGAGAGGGGATTGCATCCCCTTGAGGGATGATTTGTCACTCTCCTTCACTTGGTCTCACTATGTCTCTCCTGTGAACACATGCTCCCTATAGCAAATACCTAAAGAAAAAAATGTAATTAGGGCCAGCAGGGGATTTGGTGTTTAGGGCTCTGTACTCCCACACAGCAAACTGCAGTTCAAATCCCAGACCTGGCAGCTTACCTCTCTCTTTCTCAAAAAGATTTGCCTTAGGGGTACATAAGGTAAATGCATGAGTAAACCAGATTTTTTTAAAATGGAAATCACAATTAAGACATTTCCTTTCTCCACAGTTGAAATAGTTTAGTTTTTAGTTTTTGCTATAGAGCACATGCACTTGCCAGAGAGAATCAGAGACAGAGAGATGATAAGTGAGAAATTACCTCTCAAAAGGGATGACCACACCACAGTCCCTTATCATTCACTCTCCTCTTGAGATTTTGAACATACACAAGTTCTCAATGTGATTCTTTCTTTTTTTTTTTTTCTTTTTCTTTTTTTTTTTTTTTTTTTTTTTTTGAGAGGTTTTTGCTATAGGGCATGTGTGCTTGCCAGAAAGACAGAGAGACAGAAAGTGAGAAATCACCCCCCAGGGGGGATGGCCACACCGTAATCCCTTCTCCTCCATTCTCCTTTTGGTATCTTGGCCATGCACGCACATGCACCCGGTGTGAGTTTAAGCCACCGGGTCCAGGACTCGAACTGCGGTCGACTACATGGGAGTCCAGTGACATAGCCATTATGCTAACTGGTGGTCCCTCCCAGTATGATTCTTAAGCCACTGGATCTAGGACTCAAACTGTGGAGCTGGCCATGTGGGATCCAGTGCCCTAACGTCCACGCCACCTGCTGACCCATAACAGTTTATTTTATAGGAAGAATACTAAGTTCTTTATCACTGTCCCAGTTACTCACCCTTGGAGAGAAGTCCATTTTCTGGTGCAGACACCAGAAAAAGAAGCCCAGGAGACATGGCAAGTATAATGCTCCAGAGGAATTAGCAGATCCTATAGAGATGACCAAATCTAGAACCACTGCAATGATACAACATCATACAAAGCATTAACTACCATATTGCCTATTACTAGGTAAATAACCCCAAAACTTTTTATTTAATTATTTTTATTTAACTTTCTTTCTTTCTTTCTTTCTTTCTTTCTTTCTTTCTTTCTTTCTTTTAACTTGACCAGAGAGGGACAGAGTGGAGTGAGGT